AAAGTGACAACAATTAGATTTTAGGACAAAAAGTATTAACAGTAATAAAATGGGGCTTTCATGATGAAATTTTAGTCCATTACAAAAATACAAGATTGAATTTGTACATAATAATAGCTTTGAAATAAAATAAAAACTGACAAAACTAAAATAAGAAATATGTACATTCACAATCACAGAGATTTTAAAATCCCTTTCAGTAATTAACAGAATAGTAGAAAAATCAGGACATATATAATTTGAGCAACTTAACATATCTAGCATACACATATAAATTTCTCTCCCAATAACTGCAGAATACATGTTTTTTTCAAACATGAAACATTTACAAAAACTCCCTATACATTGGGCCACTAAACAAGTGTCAACAAATTTTAAAGGACTGAAATAATATAAAATCCTTTCTGGCTTGAAAATTAAGGAACACATTTGTAAAAAAAAACTTGGAAGTCAAAGAAAACACATGGAAATAAAACATTTTGACCTGAATGACAACATAAACACTCACATACAAGCTTGGTGTCAGGAGAAAGTTTAGATAGTAGACATCACATTAAACAGCTTATAGGTGGTAACTATAGATGAATGAATGCATTCAACCAAAGAGTATATGTAGAAGTGGTAATAATAGAACACTCAAGGCACCATCTTTTTTTAAAAAAAATTCTGCCTTTTATCTCTTTTATTTCCCTCTAACTCGTTGATATTTAAAAAATTTTATTTTTACTTTATAACATTTTATTTTTAAAAACTTTTAAAAAAGATTTATTTTTAGAGAGAGGGGAAGGGAGGGAAAAAGATAGGGGAAGAAATCATCAATGTGTGGTTGCCTCTCACATGGCCCCAGCTGGGGATCTGGCCCGCAACCCAGGCATGTGCCCTGACTGGGAATCAAACCAGCAACGCTTTGGTTTGCAGGCCGGCCCTAAATCCACCAAGCCACACCAGCCACAGCCAGATTTTATTTATTTTTAGAGAGGAGGGAGAAAACATTAATGTACGAGAGAAACATCAACCAGTTGCCTCTTGCACACCCCCAACTGAGTACCTGGCCCACAACCCAGGCATGTGCTGACTGGGATTTGCACCAGGTGACCCTTCTGTTTGTGGAACAATGCCCAACCCACTGAGCCACACCAGTCAGGACAAATCATCTTTAAAAAGGCAGGCAAATAATGAGGCAGTCAAGGACAAGGGGGGAGATGAAACAGTAGCTTTGAGACCTGAGTAAGCAGACCCCACACTTCAGGGATACTTGTGCTTTAGTTTGCGTTCAAGATTTCACAAATCCTCCTCCAGTTCCTGAGTCCTAGAAAGGCACCCCGAGCCTGGATTTGGTCCCATGGGGGACCTGGTTGCCAGAAGTCCCTCTCTTCTAAGAGTTTCCAAGTCTCACTTTGGTGCCTGAAATAGGTGTCTTTTCTCTCCTTTGAGCCATGCTTGGTGTGAACCAAATGCCCCACGGAGTCCAGGGTCTAAAAGTGGACCATTCTCACCAGCTGAGTAACATTTCCTTCACACACCAGTATAAAATTAGGCTGCTGGAAAGGTGCTGATGTGCTTTTAGGTGACCATCACATTGAACACAGGATAAATTCAGGGTTCTGTACTACCAAAGGTCACCAGGGACCCTTGGGATTTCATTGTGCATGTAGGAGGGGCTGTTCATTGGCTCTCAATTTTCTTTGTTCCATTTCTGATGCTGCCTCCGGTCCGCCCCCGCCCCTCCCCCCCAGCCTCCTCAGGCATGTGAGGGTGGTGGCTCATAAACCTGAGGACTGTTGCCTCCAGGATTCACTGTTATCTCCAGGATTTGGCTTAAGACCTGTTGATGAAGGAATGGACATTCCCTGCACAAATAAAACCATACTCCTTGCTCCACCCAATGCAGTAACTACAGCTTAAAATGTTCAGAAGACATAGATGAAACGTGTTCTATGTTTATGCTACAAAAGTCCAAATGGTAAATATAATATCACCAGGAAATAAGTTATTATCCACACTTTACTCCGGGTAAGACTTTCATTTTTGGTAATTAACAGTGAAGCACAGTTACAGCCTTTGAGACAGTTACTGGAAGCCAGTAATCACAGGCACAATGAATGCGGTATGAGTAATGATGTAATCAGCCTTTAAAAAAATGGTGTAAGGGAACCGTAGAGACAAGAACTATATGGTTCGATACAAACAGGTTCTTAAGAGTCATGGCATTGTGAGTAATAACAGCATTACTACTCTTATTGCAGTGGGGATATGAAATTGGCCAGAAATGGGACATTTGAAAATAAAGAACATGAGACTATTTTCTATGCTGGAGGAAGAGATGGTGTCTGTATACTATAAAAAAATCTTTACATGAACTGATTGAACAACAAACATACACCTTTTCTCTCTTCATTATTCTAAATCTTCATTGACAAACCACTTTACCTTACATGAGTCCATAAACTTTATAATAGATTTTTAAATTAAATTGCTTACATAGACAAGGGCCCTGCAAAAAAAAATATTTGCCCCGTAGGCAGCCCTGATCAAAGCAGGGCGGAAACTAAGAAGCCAGGAACCATGAGAATGGTATCCTGAACACAGAGGAAGTACAGAAATAAAATAAGGAATGACAAATTCATTGGATGTGAGAGTTAGAAAACCAGTGGCACTATAGCCACTAAAGGTATGGAAGAGAGAACAAATGGCAGCAGGTTGAATAGCGAATGGTGTTAAAGTTGGAAGTAACTATTTTTTTTAAAAGACACTGGCTATGGACAAATGTACTAGCAGGGAGGTAGCATGGAGTATTACATGGTATTAAAAAGAACACTAAGTATAATTGACTCTAAACCACTGACAAAAATTGAGTATTATAGTGATAGGAGGAAAAGAAAACTCATTCTACACTACTGGTAGAAAAGTATAATACTGACTCTTTACTCTTAAAAAAAAAAAAAAAAAAAAAAAGCCAGTATGGCTTCATTGCTTTGAGTGTTGTCCCCGTAAAACAAAAGGTTACCGGTTTGATGTCCAGTCAGGGCACAAGCCTGGGTCATGGGTTTGGTCCCCAGTTGGGGCATTGTGTGCAAGGCAACGGACTGATTTTTCTCTCACATTGATGTTTCTCTTCCTCTCTCTCCCTTCCCCTCTCTCTAAATCAATGAGCATGTCCTTGGGTGAGAATAGGAAAAAAAAAAGTAAAAAACAAACAAACAAATGTTCTTTTACAATGAAGAGATCTAATGGGCAACATCTTATTTACAGGAAATACTGGGGAATGGAGAAACAAAGTACAGCTACTACAATGAAGCAAATACATAAATCTAAAATGTAGGATAGTCTATAAAACAATGGTCCTATTTTTTCATAAAGTTAATGTGGCAGAGAATAAGAGTTCTAGAAAAAGAGACAGGAGACATAATTATATACTATGGACAACCTTAACAAAATCCCAGTTAAACAACATCAAAAACAATTATAAGATAATTGAGACAAGTAGACAAGTAGAAAAATTTGAATATGAGCTGATTAGATATTGGAGAATTACTGTTATTTTTCTTTGGTGTGACAATGATACTGTAGTTAAGTAGTTAAAATCTTTAAGGAAATCTATGTCCAAGTATTTAGGAGTGACATGCCCTATCTGCAGCTTAAATTCAAATGGCTCAGCAAAAACTAGATCTCTACAGATACATTAAAAGTATATACACATATATGCAAAAGGCAAAATGTTAAAAATAACTGACTCTAAGTGGTACATAGAGATGATATATCATTGTACTCCTCTGTTCTTTTAAGTCTTCTGTGTTTGTATATTTTCAAAATACAAATTTGGGGAGAGAAAGAGAAACAATAACGTGAGAAGGTAAAGATGAGTGTAATTGATTAATAGTCAAATACTAGAAAGATCAGCACTAACTACAAGGTGTGCATTGTTTTCTGAGATTAGAGGAAAGCAGCTGTGGGTGGGTACAGATATAGACAAATGGGTAGGTGCGGATGTGGGCAGTTGAGAAAATTCCAGCTGATTTCAATATCCATGATGGAGAAGGCAAGAAGCATAGTAGTAGGTTGGTGACATGAGAATGAAGATTTGGAATAGATGCTGTGGGGAATGGCAAAGGGAGCTGAACAGAGAGTTAACGTTTCACAGCTAAAGAGTTTAGCTGAGGTGCTTCTAAGGACTTGAGTATCTAGAAACTGCTCCTGATTTTTGCTCCTATTAGCACTTCAAGTTTATCTTTAATCACAGAACTTACCAGGTACTAATTGTTTACTCTATTAGACCATGAGTTTCTTGAGGGAAGGGGCTTGGCTTTCCTCTTTGTGTTCCTAGCACCTCAAATGTAGTTAGCATATAACATTTATTAAGTAAAATAGCGACAGTCACATTTAACTCTAAACAGTTAAGTTTTTATTGACCTTTCTTATCCTCAGCCCAGATTTTCCTGGGTTAACTGCTTCTTTATCATGATCTTATAGCAACATAAATATTTGTAATACCCACTAAACACCTCTTTTATTGCATTTGCTGCACTGTAGTGAAATTGTCTGTAGTATGTATATCTTACCCAGTAAAACAAAATCTTTTGAGATTAGTAATCTTATAGCTTGGTATCACAAACTTGACATGGTAGTTGGCCTAACACGTAACAGGCACTTTCTGAGCTGAGCTGAGCTTCACAGTTAGTGAAGATTTTAAGTTCTGCTTTGCAAAAGCTTTATTTCCAAATATACATGTGAGTTTAACAAATAATTTTAATACACAAAACTAACAATATTACTAAAGTATAATCAAGGATATAAAGTGCCAAATTATCTGAATCAGAGTATTCTGGATAAAACAGAAAAAACAATTGCTTTACAAACCTTTTAAAAGGCATAATAGCACCTCTTTTCTATTTGTGTTTCTTTAAGGATTAAAAATGGGAAGAACACTTTCCATGCCAGCGCAGGCAAGTTTCCAAACAGACTTATCTTCAAAAGTTCAGCCATTGGGTTAAGGTGACATTTTATGAAAACAATTCAGGAGACCAAGCATTTTTAGCTTCAGGCACTGAAGGTGGCCCATTTTCTGGGAATGAAAGGCAACATCTGACTTCTGAACAAGAACCAGGTCCTAAAACTGACTCTTTGGAAATCCACCCTGAGTGTGTCCTGTTATAGTTAGGAGTTTTCTGGTTTGTAACTACTGCTGTAAACATATTGTTTAAATTTAACTCTTTCTTAATTAGACGTTTAGTGGTTCTTTGTTTGATACGATTCAGTTTCTTTCTTGGTAATGCGTTCTGGTCAGAAGAACTACAGGCAGCAGGACATTTCCTTAGATCCATGGCTTGGAATCCAAGCCTATCTGAAAGAAATACTTTTTTTGTGGTAGGAGGCACCCATTCATCAATGTCAGATTCAAGGCACTCAGCAACAGGAGAGTTGTTGAAAACCTCTGGTTGTGTAATACTAGATATAACAATGTTTCTGGATTTCTGGCTGGGTGTTTTTATATTTTTTCGACAGCTGGGAGTGGCTTGCTGCGCCTCATTTTCAGAGGAAATCCTTTTATTTATATAGTTAGCATTAAGATCTGAACAAAATGCAAGTAATTTCTCAAAAGCTCCTTTCATCCCATGAATTCTTGTTTGGTGGAATCCTGCAACAGGAGTTGACTGTGAACATGGAACAAAGTCTTGGCTATCTTCAAAATCACTTTCTAAATCTGATGGAAAATGCGAAGGGCATGTTTTTGGGTACATGGAGGCAGGCATGTTTTGCAAGGATAATTTTTGTGAAGATTGGCTAGAGTTTTCAGAAAGTGATCTCAGTGAGGAATCATATTCTGTATGATGACTTTGTAACAGAGGCTGTCCCCACTGTAACAAAATATCCTGTGATTTTTTTGTGATTTCTGCTGCAATGTCTGTTTCTTTCGCACTGTCATTAAATAAATCCGCAGAAGCATCATAGCTACCTTCATGACCAGGAAAATAGTTTTGTGTTAAATTATTATCTCTATGTCCATAAGGCATTTCTTCCAATGTATCTGTACTTCTCTTTGGACCGCTGCAAAGAGCTTCTGAAGGGTATGTAAGTTTCCTGCAAATTGTAAGACAGTCACCTTGGTTCTCAGGCCACCTACTATACTGTTTATTTTCTAAATTGCAAAGGTCAGAAACATCATTATACCTCCTGGAACACCAAGTGGTCAACTTTTCACTTGTTTCCAAAAGCGATTTTTCTCCACATCCATTAAAGTATTTAATATTGTGCCAAGAATGGTCATTCTCTGAAGTACTACACATAACTGAAATTGCAGCCTTACGTGGTGGACTCCTGGTAGACTTCCTAAGAGAAGATGACGTTCTTAAACTTTTTGAAGATGGAAACAGAGCTGACAGACAAGCATTTGGCAAAAAATATTCAGAAATATCTCTTCCACTTCTACTAACAGAGATAGCCTCTGTGTCATGTGGTTGTGATTCTTTTTGAACACTAGGAGTTAGATATGCTTCACAGCTAGGAAGGAAGTTATCTTTGCCAGAGTTTGTTTTGACGGTTGCTTGTGATGATCTTAAAGCTATGGGTGGTGGATGCAAGGGTCCCATAGTTTTCTGGGGAGTCACAGATAAACTGCTGTGGTCTGCATGCAATTTATTGATGCCATTATCTAGATGACGCTTCCTACTGCTGGCATCTGTCTGGGTTATAGCAATCTCGCTTTCAATAACTGCCAGAAACTTGTTTAAACTTTCAGACAATGGCAGATCATCCCAAATCTTGAGGTCATAATCCTGGGAACCACCAGCTATCTCCTCAGGTCTGAGTGATAAAAGTGGGTAACATGTAGGTCTTTCCTGAGGGCTCAGGGTGGTGTTGACATCATGATGCTGGTGACATGTCAGCTCACACTGGGAATACCTGTTTTTTATTTCCAGTGCACTGTGGAAGGACTTTGAACTACTTGGCTCATTAGGCTCTTGCATTTTCAAGGGGAATAAATTAAAGCCAGGAACTCCAATATCATGATGGTTGCTGTGAACTGCACTTGACTGATCAGCTTGCAGGCCAAGTCCTTCACCCAGCCTTTGTGCTGTGCTCCCTTTATCCATATATGAAACAAGGCTCCATGAACACTGAATGGCTTCAGGGCAACCACTGGAACCAGTGGCCTCTGCCGAGGAAATGCACTGTCTGTTCTGGTGAAGAGTATCAGTGGACTTGCTTTGATCTGAAGCTGAAAAATTATCATCTGTTGGCTGTGAAACAATGGAAGTGAGTTCAAGTGATGACTGCCAGAGTATTAAAAAATTATCTCTGCCATGGGACTCAGAAGAATAAGAACTGCTGTCAGGGCCACATATGCTGCTGAGATCATTATTCGAGTGGTTATTAGGTGTCTGGGAGCCACCATGAAGTTTCCTGAAATCAGGAAGCGGCAAAAGCTGCCGGAAGTAGTCAATGACTGTGAAGCCTGCAACACCCGGGTCTGGTAGGACCATCTGGCAAGCAACTAGCTCTCTAATTTCTCTCCTGCCATCAGGGTGCTGTTCTAAGATGTTACTGGAATCTGAACCTCGCCCATGTTGGTTTTCAAAATTCTGTGAAAGAATAAATTTACATGAGAATGAAATTGTCTTTCTTTGACTAGAATGTGAAACAAAGATTTAAATTAATTTCAATTCCTCTGGTGTCATAGGCACAACAGTACAAGTAAGAGAAATAAACCATGGGATAAAGACTTGTATTCAAATTCTGGTTCGAACATTTATTAGTGTTGTGACTTTGTACAACTTATTTAACCTTACTGAGCCTTAGTTTTCTCATTTCTAAAATAAATTTAAAATTCAGGATTATTGTATTTGCAATAACACATGGAAAACTGCAATGCTTAGCAAATAGTAGTTGCTCAATAAATGGTAGCTATTATATAATATTTCTCATTAGCTTCCATAAACTTTGAGTGCTTAAAGGAATGTCCTCACCTGTTTAAAAAAGAAAAAAGAAAAAAAAGATAAAGTGCCATCTAAGCCTTTTTTTTTTTTTTTTTTAAAGAAGCTCCTTAGTTCCAGGCCCCACCTTCCCTTTGGGTCATTCTTCACTGTTCCGTTACAGAGTGCTCTATTCCTCTTTTTAAAACCCTGATTGCATATGGATAACATTTCCATTTGTTCCCTTTAGCACAGATGAGACAGAAAATGATTACTACTTCAGAGTCAGTACATTCTTCTTAACTTCTATCATCACTTTTATAATTATTTAAGACCATCCTTCCTAACCTATTCTTAGAGTTAATCAATATGTAGATAAACAAATATCTGACACTTCTGAATTTATATAAATTTAGATTTTTAAAGCTCTGAAAGCATTTAAACTAGGCTCTTCTGACTTATGAAAGAAGTTGTCACAGTTGGTGTTTTAATAGCTCACCTACAGCCTATTTTTATAGTCTATAGTACTTACAGGCTCTTACATTTATGACTCCTAAAAACTATTTAAAGAATTCAATTGATTTCTTTACAATGGAAATGTTAACAGAATACAAAAAAGAAAGCTAGTCTCAATTACCGTCACTCCAAAAATAAAGCTCTGTCCAACAAAGCAAGTTTCAACTGCTTTGGTTAATAGCTTCTGAGTTGCAGCACTATCCAGTGTTACTGGGATTTCATTAGGATCCTGAATGTATCTTGAAAAGAAAGAAAATAAAAAATGTGAAGAGATAAATTTTGAAATTTTAACTTGCCATAAGGTCAGGAGATATGAACAATTAGTTTGAAAACACAGCACGAATCTTTTGAGTTACATATCTTAAAAAGTGATGTTAAAAGCTAGGCATTTTGTTCCCTCTCGTTTCCCATAGCTGGAGAGGCAAAACAACTGATCAAGTGTGAATCCAGTAGATGCCTGCCTATCAGGCCTAGCAATTCTTCTAAAAGTAGCAGGGGAAGCAGTGGTGGGATCTCTAGCCCTTCTCCTCAAAGCAGAAGGACATCGTTCCCTTTCCTTGCAATCCTGGCCATGGTCCCTCTGCTGTCCTTTGTTCAAATGAGTTTGCTCTCCACAAGGAGATACACATTTCTTCTGTCAAGGATTATGGGAGGAGGGTGGAAGACGGAAGGGGAGAAAAAGCTTCAGTTGCTCATACATATTCTTGCACTCTCAGGACAACATTATGACAGGTCAAACCGTGCAGGTGTAGTGGTAATGCAAATGAGAGAAATGACAAAATTTCAACTTCTGATATGCAAATATTCCCACAAATGGCTTCTGCCTCAAGGGGCTTTAGCCACTTGAGTGTTAACCTCAATTTGGATAATCCTTCAGTTTGAAACACTTTTACTTTCTTATTCTATGTTTGCTAACTTGGATTAGAGTTTTTAAATTTAATATTCTAATTACAGCTTAGTTGGCCTCAAAAGAGGAGCCTGGTTTAACACTATCACAATATGTATTCAAGAAATAAACATCTTATTTCTTTCTTTTCTTTTTTTTAAGATATTATTTTTTTTTTAGAGAGAGGGGAAGGGAGGGGGAGAGGGAGAGAAACATCAATGTGTGGTTGCCTCTTACACGCCCCCAACTGGAGTCCTGGCCTGCAACCCAGGCATGTGCCCTGACTGGGAATCGAACCAGAGACCCTTTGGTTTGCAGGCTGGCACTCAATCCACTGAGCCACACCAACCAGGGCTAAACATCTCTTTCTTGATTATTTATCTTTTAAAGGAACTGATGATCTGAGGATGAGTGACCATCTTTTTGGTTCCCAGGCTGGCAACCAATCCACTGAGCCACACCAGCCAGGCTGAGTGGTCATCTTTTTATTAAATACATATTACTTTAAAAACACATTATTTTCAGACTTGACTGGTGTGGCTCAGTGGGTTGGGCACTGTCCTGTAAACCATTGCAGGTTTGGTTCCAGCTTGGTGCACATGCCTGGGTTGTAAGCCAGGTCCCCTGGTAGGGGTGTGCCAGAGGCCACTGAAAGATGTTTCTCTCTCTTTCTCCTTCCCTTTCCCTCTCTCTAAAAATAAAGAAAATCTTAAAAAACAAAAAAAATGCACACATATCTTTAAATTCTATTAATATCCTATATTAAGGAGTAGCTAAGAAAGAGAATGCTTTAAATAATCTTACCTGTGTAAATCAGTGGCTGTAAGACCAAAAAATATATCTAAGCAGCTTCCAAAAACAGTAATGGCAAATAATTTGTTTGATTCTGCAACTTTTATGGAAAGTTTGTATCTGTAACTGGCATTTTTAGCTTCACCAGTAGAACCACATTTTGGACAATTAGACCTAGAAAAGTAGAACAAAGAAAATACAGAAATGTTCATTAAATTTTTTTTCATTTGATGAAAAAACACACCTGGAAAATTTAAAATTAAAAATAACATTCTGTGTACAAATGTTTCTATACAACTTATATTCTTAAACTATTTCATACCAATCTCTTTTGAATTTATTCATAACAGCTACCCTCACTGACTTAAATTAAGTAGTGCAAACTGACAGAAAAGTGAAGGAAAACTGTGTATATGCACGTGCACGCACAAGGGGATGGTGGGGAGAGAGAGGTGATCCTACTCGGTAGCTTAATCTTCAACAAAGTGAGGTATAGTCTGGGGTCAGGGGTGGTGCAAACTAAGTACAATGAAGTAAACACTGCACCAGCAGAAGACCTGAAAATTAATGTTTATCTTCTATTAAAAAAATAATAATCTTGAAACAGTTAATAAACATTTATATACAGAGTACCCAGTTATAGTTTTCTCACCACTATAAGAATAATTTAACTTTCTTTAATTTATTGGAATATACTAAAAAGTTATCAGATTACAAAAAGCTAGGTACAAAACATCTTATTTAACTTGTTTTTAAGGCAATGTGTAATTACGGCCAATGGCTTTCTGGTAAAAACTATGCATCAAGTGTACTAAATGTCTGGCCTTGGGATAGTTACTAAATCCCTTAAACCTTGAATTCCTGATCTGTAAAATTCAGGGTTGAGGAAGGATGAATGGACACGAAGTAAAAGAAAAAAAAAGTAAAGATCTATTGCAGATCTTGTCAATTAATAAGTGTTAGTCTGCTTCTCTTATAATCTTACGGAAATCTGCTGGAGTTTGTGCTGTAGTTTGGCCATAAATATAGCTTCTTTAAAAATTATATATTAATAAAGCATTCAAGTGTAATGTAAAATTCTTAGCAAGTCTTAGAATAGTTAATAGATATCAGCATTTTGCAATTTATAAATGTTCTCAACATACATTATTTTATTCTGATAAGTAAACAAGACAAGGCCTTTTATTTCTACTTACATATGAGGCAATTGGGGTGAATTTTTGCCCAAGGTGACAAAGTTAGTGAACTTTATGACTCAAATCCAAGGATTTGGATTTCTAGCTAGGAGATCTGTCTTGTATGTGTCTTATGATAACTATAAGAACGGTAAGTTTAATAAGAAACTATCTTGCAAACAGAGTATCAATGATAGCCTAACAAAAACTAGGTTTACTAGTATGAATGCATATGAACACTAAATTTTATATATATATATATCTTCTTCTTCTTCTTATTATTATTTTAAATTCTAACCCAAGGATATGTTTTATTGATTTTAGACAGAACGGAAGGCGGGAGAGAAAAACATCAATGTGAGAGAGGAACATTGGTCAGTTGCTCCCTGTACACATCCAATACACATGAGTGGGCTCAAACCCACAATGTAGGTTGTACCTGGACTGGGAATTGAACCTGCAATCTTTTTGGTAAAAGGGACAGTGCTCCAACCAACTGAGCCGCCCAGCCAAAGCTAAATTATATATAGTTTTCTATAATATATGTATAATGAAGATATTTATGTACATGGTTTCCTTTAATCATTTGGGAATAAGGCTGGATTGAAATAAATGTTAGTATGGAGTAATCCATACTTGAACTTTGCACCACAGCTTGAACTTTTCTTAAAATCTTCACCTGAGGATATATTTTTTGATTTTAGAGATACAAAAAGGGGAGGGAGGGAGAGAAATGAAAAGAGAGAACGAGAAACAGAAAGAGACAGAAAGAGAAACACCACCGTGAGAAAGAAAAATCAGTGGGTTGCTTCCCATAAGTGCTCTGACCTGGGAAGAACCTGCACCCATTTTTTTCCCCCTTTTTTTGTGCATGGGGGTGACATTCCAACCAATTGAACCACCCAGCCAAGGTCAGGGCTTGAACTTTGATATACATGCTAATCACCTGGGATCTTGTTAAAATGAAGATTCTGTTTCAATTAGTCTGGGTCAAGGCCCAAGATCCTGCATTCCTAACAAGCTCCCAGGTGATACGGATGCAGCTGTTCCCCTGACTATGCTTTGGGAAGCAAGGGTAGGAACAATAACACACTCCAATTATAATTCTCTGATTTAACTGCTAGAAATACCCCTATTTCCAAAATGTCATTTGTTATGAAATAGAAGTTTTCAAACTGTATGTGCTGAAAAATTATCGAGAAAAACCAAAGAGGTTTTGTTTATGTAAGTAATCTCTACTTATATTTTATACTGATTATGAGAAATTAAATGAAAAAGAAAATTAATAAATCTAAAAAGTATTTATTAATTCTTTCAAAATAAGAGATCCGCTGCATGGTTAACAAAAAGAACAGTTTTTATAAAAATAGCTATGTGTTACAAAAAAAATTAGCAAGAGTGGCACTGTTTTACATTTGCAAATCTCTTTAATGTTTTGTTTACTAAAGACAACTGAATTCTCATATTTCCTTTTCTGCTCATTCTGCTGTGATATCACATGTCAGTCATGTAGTCTCTTGAAAACTCCACTATGCATTCATAAGAGAATGAGAGTGAAAAGGGAAATAATGCCTTAGGATTATGAAAATGGTTTTGATCTCAAAAAGTCTCTGAAAAGATATGTGTAAAATAACACCTGAAATGGCTACTTTTTTTGTGATACCACTTAAAACAGCAAGTTTCATTTGTTTATTTTTCTAGCATAGCTATAGATATTGCTGAAGTAGGTGCAGTGGAGAGATTAGTGATTCTTAGCGTGGCCTTGGTCTTGAAACTCTTTGGAAACCTGATGAAAACAATGGACCCTTTCCCAGAAAAATGCACACATAACCAGAACACCTGATACTTTGTATATTTTGGGGACTGGAGGATTCATATACATCTATGGCCTATCCGTAGACCCCAGGTTAAGATTATCTAGACTAGATGATTACATGATGTCCCTTCCACATTTAGAATCTCATAATAAATTGAATGTATACAAGGTAAATAAATATATTTTTTAAAAATGTATATTTATGGAAGCAACTCAAGAGCCCATCAGTACAAAAGTGGATAAAAAAGCTGTGGTGGGTAAAATACATATGGGGCAAATGTAGGTTTACAAATATAACAAATAAATAACACAATAAATAATAATAGAAGAGTAAACTATGTGTTTCATGTACTTTTGCCAGCGTCATATAACGTAATACTACTCGGCCATACAAAGGAATGAAATCAATGTGTGACAATATGGATGGACCTAGAGGGTATTATGCTAAGTGAAAGAGGCTGGTCAGAGAGAGACATATACCATATGATTTCACTTACATGTAGAGTCTAAAGAACAATATAAATGAGCAAAACAAGCAGGAACAGACTTAAAGATGCAGAGAACAGACTGATGGTAGCCAGAGGGGAGTAGTGTTGGGGGACTGGTTTGAAAAAGGTGAAAGGATTAAGATGTAAAAATTGGTCACAGTAATGTAAAGTACAGCACAGGATATATAGTCTATAATATTGTAATAACTCTGTATGGTTCCAGATGGGTACTGGAAATATCAGGGGAAACACTTTGTAAAGTATATGATTATCTTTAACTACTATGCCATTTACCTGAAACTCTGAAACTAATACTAAATAATACTGATTGTAAACTATAATTGAAAAATAAAATCTAAAATATCTATCTTTGGCCCTGCCTGGGTAGCTCAGTTGGTTAGAGCATTGTCCCAGTACACCAATGTTACACGCTATATCCCTGGTGAGGGCACACACAAGAATCAACCAATGAAGTCATAAATAAGTGCAACAACAAAAAATGATGTTTCTCTCTCTCTCTCTTTCTCCCTTCTCCGTGCTCTCTAAGATCAGTAAGTTAAAAAAAAAAAAAAATGTTTAAAGCTTTACATGTCACTTTCTCCCAAAAGGAGAAAAGTATGATTGATGTATGTGAAATTCAATTTGCCTTGTTTAACTAAATTACACAAACATTTTGTGTGGTTGAGGGGGCCAGAAGAATAGGCAAAGAGGACAGGTTGGTAGTCTCTGAGCTATGATTCACATTTTAAAACAGGAAAACAAAGTTCTTAGTATCAGAGACAGATGTCTAGACTAAAGGAACAGGAGTCCCATTAAGTAACCTAGAAGAGCAATTCAGATCTCTTTGGGCTGGGGAGACAGCTTATCTAAATAAATAAGAACCATCCCTTGCTCATAGTTTTTGGGAGAGTACACACCCACACATATTATGAAAATAACAGTAATTTGGTCCTTCATATGAACAGATTATCAGATTCACACATAGGTACATATATATAGGTATATATATATACACACATATGTAAACATGATCTTACATGATCAAAAAGATTCTATACATGTATTTCTTATATTTGTAGGTGTATGTGTCTGCATCTTTATATATATCATGGAACCTTTCAAATGAAATCCTGGAACCCAATACAAGCATGAGAACGGAGCTCTTGTTGAAACTAAAGTGGGGGCCCAGAGCCCATCCTACTGGTCAGCGCTGCCCACCAGTCCCCCTCTAAGCCCCGCCTCCCCCCAGAAGCACGGACCCCTAGGGCTCTCCAGAATGTAATTTGAAAACTGCCACTGCTCTAAGTCCCGGAGGATAAAAAAAAGAAGAGGGTGAAGCCCATCAAATAGGAAACCAAACACCTATTACGGTTGTTATTGCTAAGGATTTGGCATTCAAAGAAAATCTTTAGGCAGCAGTCTTTTTGCTCTTTGGTGTCTCTAAAACGTTTGGCAAAGGCTGGAGTCTGGGATTCCTCTGCCAGAAACTTGCTGTGCTGTGGCAGCGGGGACACCAAAGTGGGGAATTTCTGCTTCCTGCGCAGGCTTGCAACTCACTCATGATTCCTCTCTCACGCTCACAGGCTTTGCTTGTACCTTTTGGAGACTAGGATTATCCGAGAGAAGCACTTTTGACAGGAAGGGTAGATAAAACTTGAATTTTGGAGAGCAAGAACTGAAGCGAGAAGAAATTTTCTTTTTCTATTCATGCGTTCACACTGTGGCCTGCAAAACAAAACAGTCACTGGGGTGAGGGCAAATCTTTAACTGTAGCTGCATAGCTCATTTCTGAGGAAAGCCTCTTAACCTCCGCTGCAAACAGATGAACTGTCTAGTAAATGCCCATGTATTGGAAAACTAATTTTTTTTTCATGCTTAATTAAAAGTATTAATAGAATGAAAATAAGATTTAAAGCAAAATAGTTCAAACATTCTGTTTCTGAATAAGCACTCTCTCTCTCTCAATAATTCAGGAAAATAGCCATTTAGCTTCTTTCACATTTTTGTAAAAGCTACACAGAACCTGTTTCTACCATTAATAGGAAGAAACTTAACTGAACTTATGTGACCCTTTTAAAGAACCTAATTGGTGGAAAATGGTCGCTTTCAGCTGAAAAAAATAACTTAATTAAGTAATAGTGTGCAGTTTTTAGACAGCTTCAAAGAGAATACAAGGCAATTCATATTTTGCAAACAGAAAAAAGCAATGTTACATGGTGAAAGAAGAGTTCAAAGTGCTTTAAAAAGACACTTGTATAAAACATATCAGAGAAGTAAAATAAAATAGGAATGTTTTCCTCTTTTATACTTTAAAAAATTTCAAATGTTGGTTTGTTTATCAACATTTAAAAATTGATTGGCTTAATTATAGTATAAATGTTCATGTTCAAGATAAAGCTGTATTAATAAATTTCCATTTGTAAACACATGACTAAAGTTTTCAATATCTGAATCAGAGTGGAACTGTTTCTGAGACCGGCATTGCAAATTTTGACCAAATATAAGTCACAATTTAAAAATCATAAGAGAAGCTTTCAGGCATAAATCTTCAAGGATAATGAGAAATTCAGAAATGTGGCGATGATGGAAGGGAAATCTTAAAGTAATACCAATACTGTCCATCAATCAAAATGACATTTCTGTGAAAATAAAATCTTGCCACCTACCTATAAGATGGAAACTTACAAAGATGTAGGATAAACAGATTTATATAAATCATTGTGCTACATTATTAAAGGGGGCATAGAAAAAAGCTAATACAGCCTAATTCTTTGTTGTTATCCTTATTCTGGGATCCTTAAATATGTAAGACTAGTAAGGTTCTACCAAAAGTGGATACGCGATCCTAGATTTGGTTTTCATCTTAGGCCACATGGCAGTCTCTAAGGTCAAGGTAGAAAAGGTGACAGAGGATCAAGGCGAAGATAGAAAGAAGGGTCGCGGGAAAAAGCACCTGCCCTCTGCATCCCCTCTAAACTCCAGTTTCGGGTGGGGTGTAACGCGATGGCACTACCTGTGAGCAAGGGCGGATAAAACAGGGCAAAGTTCCCTCCTGAAAATGTCATCCCTCACCTGCTTAAAACCCTGCTATTTACAACAAACCCTCAATTCCTAACAATGGCCTGAGAGGCCCTAGGTCATTTAGCTCCTAGTACCTGATATCTTGATCACTGCACTTCAAACCTCAAATACACCGAATGATTTATCTTCTCAGGCTTTTGTGCTTCCTTTCTCTGTGCCTAACAGGTTCTTCCCTTTGTTCTTCACATAGCTGGTTCATTCTCATCTATCAATATTTAACTCTAATGTTACCCCTTTTAGAGAACCCCACTTCATCAAGTGGACCTCTTAGTTTCTATGATATATATTAACCATTTTATTTCCTTATGGTACTAATCATGCTCATGATATAAGCAAATGTGAAAATGCATACATCCTATATGTGCACTTGCTGACTTATTTTTGTGTGTTCTTCCCACACTAGTCTGAAGTTTCATGAAGACAGGGACCTGGTCTACCCTGTGCTCTGCTATATCCCCAGTGCTTAGCATATAGTAAATTCTTTATGAATATTCAGTGAATAAATGACAAACTATGAGCAGAATCCTGCACTTTAAGAAAATTTTTATAACAGAGTAGGTATACGACATAGAATCGATTTTCCTCCTCTTCACTGAAAACCCCCTTCAAAAAGCCCTGCTTCTATTAACAAAAAGAATGGCTCATCTTTTTTTCCACATCTTATACTACTATACTTCCATAGTCTTCCCCTGTTTTGTCTCTTCTATTCCATTTGGTTTTATTCTTCCTAATGCCTTTTCTCTTGATTCTCTCTCTCTTTTTTCTTTATATGCTAGTAATTTATGCTAGAGAACACACAAAAGTACTGAGTTGTGTTCCTTGTTCCGTCCCCCGCCCCCAAACACGCCCTTACCACAATATGTCTCACGTGTCTTTGCTTTTTTCCCACTCTTCCTTCTGTCTACAATATTCTCTCTCTCTCTCTCTCTCTCTCTCTCTCTCTCCTCTCTAATGCTTATTCTTCTCTAAAATTCTTTTCAGGGGTCTTCTTCTCCAGGAAGCTTTCCCAGGTTAAGTGACCCTACTTTTTAATTTATCACTTACCAAATTAGTTAACTTGTTTAATAACTGTTTTTTGGGAACCAGAGTAAAATCTTAGAAGGACCATCATTTTATATTCCCAGTGCCCAGATTGAAACCTGACAATCTGAAAATTCAGCTATTAACTTTCTTCCTGATTTTCAGATTTCCTCTTTTGTCAGTTCTGCCATATACCATTAAATATAAAACACCATTTTACAAAATCACAAAATATTACATGTGTATACACATTGGAGTGCACAGAGTAGTTTCATATATAGTTCTTTTTAACTATTTTAATTATTTACATTTTATCCTCATTTCCAATTTATTTTCTTAATTGAGATATGAGCTGGGATTATCTTAGTTATGGCTCTAAAATAAAATTTTATATTGTACCAAACTATCCAATCAAACTCTTCATAAAACTGTTATCAAATTAAAACTTTAGGGAAAGGATTCCTAAATCTATGGACAAAGCCAAAGTGGGAAAGGATTGAGGGAGGGAGGTGGGGGAGGGGGCAGGGGAAAGTGGTGGTGGGAAAATGGAGACAAATGTATTTGAACAATAAAAAAAAAAAGAAATATTATCAAGTTCACCCAGGAATTATCTATGCTTACACCATAGTATATTAGCAAAGTTACAGTCCAAATGTCACTTAAAAAAACAAACAAACAAACAAACAAACTTTAGGGAAAGGATTAAACCTAGGACACTGTGCCAAATGTTGTGGGGAAATTTAAAAAATAAGACATTTCTTGTCCTAAAATGTTCACTGTCTAATTGGGCAGACAACTTACCAATAAATTAAAAACATACAAACAGAAATATTTGGAAATTAATTTCTAAATGAATTGTCCAAGAACTAATTGCTGTATTTTTAAAGGAAGTTTGGTTACATTGTCTTTAAGGGTTTACTGCCCTCTACTGGATAAAATAATGTCTAGAAAACTACAACTGGCAAATTTTGAGAACTGAAATGTATAAGGTCATTAAAAAACAATTTTTACTATTTGTGCTTTACCTGGTACACCCCAGAAAATCGCAAAAAAAAAATACCCCATTAATTTTCTGGTGGACACACATGCAACTATATCCTTTCAGAATTTAGTGTCAGTTATTCCCTTTACTGTTGTCAAAGTATTTCCTTAACTGTACTTGTCACCTAGTTTGCTTTGTCTCTCTCTCTCCTGTTTGACTTGTAGGATGGTGAATCCATGTTTGATAGATAGCTAAATGAAGTATCAGGAATGAGTAAATACTATAAAGTTAGGGAAACACAATGATAAACTTAAGGACAATTTCATATGTGGTATTTCTTGCAATTTACCTTCTTGATTTCATTAGGAAGGATGCTGATATAGTATTACATAAACCACACATAAAATTTAACTGAAATTGTGAATTCTAGAAAGAAAATGAACATACTACCTTGAGAAAGTATAACATGGAGACTTATCCATAGTCTCAGCTTGGGAATATGGGGAAAGAGAGAGGTAGGTAGGGAAATGTAATGTTTCTTTAAAAAATATTTTCTCTCAGAGTTGTCAGATTAAAATTAAATTTTTATTTCCTTTATATTTAAAAAATATTTTCTAAATTAATTACTTTTAGAATTAGAAAATTTAAAAATACAGTAAAAATGCTAGTAGAGAAATTAGCAATAATGTACAAAGAAACTTTGGGTCCTCTCAATCTCTCACACATAAAAGTAGAAACAAGGAGACAGATGGAGGCAGAGGAAGAACAGTGTAAACATTAGGGTAGGTTGATGGGAACTAATTAGAGCCCCAGGTATTGTTTTGAAGGCCCAGCAACTGCCTAAGTCAAAGTCCAGGAACAAAGACTCTGATATACTTACGTGGGGTCTAGGTGGACACACCAAAGTATATTTTTAATTTAATAGAGAATACTATAGAATACTTTATTTCTCTCTTTCTAGTGAAGCCATATGGAGAGCTAAATTATCATCGAAGATGCTTTAGTAATTCACTATAGGAAATCACCATCACAGAGGGCTACCTTTTAGGGATGTGTTTTCTTTTGTGTACAACTACATATTACACCAGATTACAAGCAAAGTTGCTTAAAGAAGGGGTGTTAGGTGAATAAAAAATTTAATGGAATACGGCTAATACAGCTGTTGTAGCTTTTTTGCATTAGAAATTATTTTGTCAATGTGCCCAGATATGTAAGTTCCTGATTACCAGCCCAGATCCCATTTTCATACCAGCCAAGGAGTTTTCAAACTTTAGCATATATCTAAATCATTTGGAGGGCTTGATAAAACACCAGTTTCTGGGCCCCAACTCTAAGGCTTCATTCAGTAAGTGGGGGATGAGGGCCTGAGAACCTACAGGTTTTGAGGTAAGGCTTGCGTTGCCCACACTTAATAACCACTGGCCTAGCCACTGGGGCTGAATGACAGAGAACACTTAGGATTAATGTGGTTACAGTTAAATCATAAAGCCTGAGAGCATTTTATCTCTTTCAGAATACTTTGTAATTCTTTGCTCTAATGTGTTTGTTATCTGGTGACTTTTCAGCTTAACTCTATCATCACCAAATTATTAGAAGGCACCTTAATAGTCAGTCTATAAACAAACTTGCATGTGTGGAAAACCTATTATTTGTAGC